GGTTGAAGACGCGGCTGTCAGTAATTTCTATCTAAACGTATACAGTTCAAATGTGCCCACATGCGTTGACCCAGACAGTAGTAAAGTAGAAAAGATCAAACGACGTTCGCGCATATCTTGTTGACGACAAGCCGCAGTGTATGAATCCTTCTGAATTACATCTGACACGTTGGAAAATTTAAAATTCTAAAAAATATGAAAACTATGCATCTTTATGGAAGTCACGTCAAATAGCATAGAAATCGGTATGTACCAAAATTATTTTTAGAAACAGAACACCCGCAAAACTCAGGCGTTTGCGAAACGCATGCAAGAATTGACAGGAGATATCATTTGGAACGCCATGGTTCACTACCTTTCGTGACATGCGGGAGATACCATGCAGAAAGGATTCATGAAAGTGGAGTAGTTGTTAATTGTCGATCAGTTTTAGGAGACAGCCAAATAGGGGGAAGTAAGTTAGTCATAAATTCGACCAATAGAAGAAATAGTGAAAATATCAAACTACTATAACTCTTCAAATCCGTATCAAATCAGATGTTAGTTAGTCATTAACTGGTTAGGTTATAGACCGTATGAAAATAAGTCAATAAGGTAAAACTATAATATAGTAATAAGGACCGAATAAACACGACCCCAAAAAGTCATGTCTGGGTGACCTAATGAAATGTCCTGCAGATAAATTTTCCAAAATTATTTGCTGTATATATAAATATATATGGACAGAATGATATTGCCGACAAAAACAAGGCAGACTGGAATGGCCATTTCTGGTCTATTAGCCGTCGTCAGCCAGCCATACCCAAGCCCGAAGTGCGGAACACCCGAGCCTCGAACTCGCCACCTGTTAATTTAGAAGTTCACGCCTCTACCCACCGGACCACGAGCCCGTTGCCTTGTCGGCTTTCGATCGGGAATATACAATGGAAGGGGGCGCTCATCGATCGTTCATACGGAACTCACTCGTTCCGTTGTGCATAAAGGGCTCTCTCTCGAGCACAACCAGCAGCCGCACAGCGGCGCAAGATATAAAGGCAGAATGATATTACCGACGAAAACAAGGAAGACTGAAATGACCATTTCTGGCTTATTAGCTGTCGTCAGCCAGCCATACCTTGTCCCTGTCGGTAATATCATTCTGCCTGTATATCTTGCGCCGATGTTTCGTTCATTGGGTATGGTATAACGGAGTTCAAATTGGCTATCCTGCCCGATCTAGTAATGCATGCGTGTTTCGATTTTGGTAGCGTTCGTGAAGCTGGAATCTTGAAATTGTCATGCGACCTTAAATTTTCAAGAATAATCTTTCATGCGCTCCTTAAGGTAAGCAAACTCTACTCGTCTTATCATATTTCACAATTCTTAATAATTCAGAGCAATGTGACAGGAAAGCTGTTATCTTTTCATGCAAACCAACATTATATAATTTCCGCATTTGACCTTATGGGGTTCATTGTCTTCCAAATGCACATTTGACATGACACAGCGAGGAATGTTGTAGTAATCCAATTCAAGAAATTTCGTATGCGGCAAAATACGTTAAGAGCGTTTGTTCAGTAAAAGGCCTTTGATCACGTTTAACAATACAAGCACGAATTAACAGAAATCTGTTTTCGAGCTTATTTTAATTAAGCAGGTTTTAAGGCTTCCTGTTTAACCCTAGCCTTTATTTTCAGCATGAATTGCCGTTGGTTCAACTGTATCAATAAAACGATGTTAATACATTTTGTCGCCTAGACTTGATATTTTAAACACAGAATTTAGGGCAAATGGTTGGGCTTAACTTTTACCAATGCAGTTGTCATCAGAATCTGTGACAGGCAAGGTAAAAGAATGGGGTAAATATGACTAATATAGAAATCTGCTCGTGTTACATTGCACACGAATGTCCAGATTCCCCATCTGCAATATACTGCTGCACGACAATTCTTCCTTACGACAAACTGTACGATCACCAACCTTCGGGTTTAGAAACACAATCAAAAGAGTGTTTACGAAAATCAAACATTGGCGGCCGATGCAATATAAGTCATACTCTGTGGGTCTATTCATCTACTGTTTTTTATGTCAGTTCGAACGTGGCTAGAGGCAACGTCCAACTGTGTCCGGATCTTCCCGTCACATTTTGAAAAATGCTCACTCAATACATTCTACATGTACAGCGTTCAAAAGGCGAACTGTGTCCTGCGTGCTAAAGGATGAATAAACAGAGACTGAGTTCATGACTCGGATCAGTCCGAACAGGACCAGTAAGGCAAGCGAGCACGCGCGACCGAGAGTCAACGCTCACGGAAAAGAGCGGAATTGGGGGCCAGAGGTCATGTGACCATAGCAGAACACTGTCTCACCGATGCGCCCGCGAAGCTGAATGCTGCTCACCTGAACAGCAACGACCGATCAGTCCACCGACTGACGTGGGAGGGGCCAAGCGGCAATTTGATTTGACCACGACTAAGCCGACCCTAAAGGGAACAAAGGTCACGCAGGCCTATCAGCGGTCAGCGGCAAACAGGCAGGTCAAAGTTCGTGCGTCCAGCACGGCTATAATACGAGGCAAGCGGCAAGACTGAATAACTCAAGACCTGCAACTGCAACAATTACGCTACTCTGATGATGGAACCGAGGAAGTTTCCGAAACGTCAGTTCGAATACAATATGGTCCATGGATTCGCCCTCTCTTCTTCTTCGTCTTCTTCGGGAGATGATGAACGCGATATATGCATGTGTGTAGATAAAAGGCAGTATGCATTCCGAGTTGATATAATGAAAAATAGAAGACGTTTTTTGCAAAAGTCGAGTTGCAATCGAGAATTTCCGAGCTTCTGACACCAATCGGTCGTCAGACGAAATTAAAGCAAGGGAGAAAGTTCTGTTGTCAAAGTAGACCGTTTGGTGTGATAGGACAGACAGACCACTGACGTGTATCTATATATGCGGAATGTTATAACGGACAAAGACAAGGGAGACTGGAATGGCTATTTTTGGCTCATATGCCGTTGTCATCCAGTCATACTTAACTCCGAAGTGTGGAACACCCGAGGCTCGAACTCGCGACCTGTTAGCTAGAATTCCACGCCTCTAACCACTGGGCCACGAGCCCTGTGTCCTGTCGGTTTCGATCGGGAATATACAAAGGTAGAGGAGGGATCACCGATTGTTTCGACGGAATTCACTCATCCGGTTGTGCCTTAGGGTTCAATCTCCCTCTTTCGAGCGCTTCTCCACCATTGTATATTTCCGATCGCAACCGACTAGACAAGGTGCCCCTGGCTCTGTTATCAGGGCCGTTGGACCTCTAAATACTAGGTAGCGAGTTCGAGCCCAATGTGTTAAACTTTCGGGGACGCGTTTGACTGTCTGACGACGGCTGATAAGCCCAACAATGGCCACTCCAGTCTCCCTTGTCTTTGTTGGCAATACCATTCTGCCTATATTAGGCGCCACTGTGTGGTTGCCGGGTGGGCTCGAGAGAAAACCGTCATGCGCAACGGTACAATTTAGTTCCGTAGAAACGATCGGTGAGCGCCCTTCAACAGTGTTTATTTATATACGCAAATGTCAGGGGGGGAGGAAGAAAACGTACTACGTAACGCTATCGTTCAGCTCTGTTGTAGTGTAATTTCTCCAGTTCCGCTTGGAGCCGCACGGCTGTAAATATTACATGCATAGTGGCATAATCGAGAAGGAAACAACGGATCAACTCAGTATTTTAACGCGACTGGCTCGCGCTCATAAACCGGTATCCGATCTCAATGAGAAGAATATCGAGACCATGGTTTTATCATAGCCTAATGGAATCCTTATATATTCCTTATATATTTTAAATAGTTCTACGCGTTTTCATCCTCAACCAAGAAGTTGGACATCTGTTGCCTTTCGTTATTGCACTGCACTTCTAAAAACACCAACTAAGAGCTGGCTTTTGACAATGGGGGGTTAACTGCATTTTCCTTACTCTTGTACATTGTTAAAATCCAACCGCATTCGTTTTCTTTTGGGTGAGGTAGGCGGATAAATGCCTTATTTAAATGATTGTGAGAAGGTTTTGTTGATCTCAGCGCCTGTTTACCGTTCCGTAAATTGCAATTTGAACACTAACTTTTATTTCCAGTCATTTATGTGACAAAAGTTTGTGTTGGAGTAACTACTTGTGTTTCATCAGTGTGCATAGAAACATTCAGTGATCGTGGTTTGTTTGCCGACTATTGTTTCCCGCACGTGGTTATAATTGCGACTCGCCCCCATCAACTGCAATTGTCCCTTTAAAATTTAATATGCAAATAACCTTGTAGGTAAAATTGTCTGCGCTCGCCGCGCTTGTTTTGCCGAATCGCGGGTGGATTCGCTATGGAGTCCTGAACACCACCAAATGTTTTTTTTATGTAAGCTCGTCGCTTCGTGGAAGTTTGCCATGATCTTAACCTGTATGTACTGGCATAAGCGAAGGACTCCATCGCCAACCTCGCCTTTCAAGATGTCACCTTAATTCGAAATAAATTGTCTCGAGGGCTGCTATGCCGCCCTTTTTCCAGGCAACTGTGTGGGCTTCAGATTGAAGTAGCAACTGTTTACGAGAATTTTCGTTTGGTGCTCCATATAGTTAATGGGAAAGTTTCGGTGATTAATCGTGTTATCTTCTTCTGAAGATTTAGGTAGGACAGAAATGAGGCAAGGATACAGTTACTAAAAGGGTTTGCGTACTTTCGATTGGATTGCAAATAGGAAAACATACTGCCAACTTCGTCCAAAGTGGAAGTCCATTGTTTAAATCCCTCGATTAAAAATGCGCATTTAGATTTCAACTTAAAGCCTATCTTTTGCAACAGATCAACCCTCCACAGACGCCATAGCATATGAAGTTTTCTTCAAGTCGCGATATATGACAGTTCAAACTTCGTGATCGACGTTGTTCACCATGTACTCTTTAGTAAGGTGAGAGCGGAGGCGGAATCTTGCTGACGATTAACCTATATGCTGTGCCAAAACAATCATGGAGACCGATGTTTAGAGGTGGAACAGGTGGCCAGCACGGCGGATCTTCACGCCTTGGCGTATCAGCACCTCCCTTGATTCATTACGACACGAGCCAGCGGTATGTACAACGGGAAAAGGATAGCGGGACGGATACCAATTGGTGCTGTTTACGCCTGCTAACTGGACATGCCACCCGACCCTCATTTTCAGTCGTTGATTTCGATGGACATTTCCAATAGCGCATATCGAGGTTCCGTCTAACCCCGTGCTGGTCCAGCACATAATCTACCGCCTCACCCGTTATAGAGTAGCCAATTTGCATTCATGTGTACTACCTTGGTCTTATTGATATTAGTGAGTGCTTTGCAGCTCAACTCAAGACGTTGGAAAATTTAAATCTATAACCTCGCATATGCATGCACTTGCCAACGCGACGAATATGCAATAACATATTCATGTGTTGTTGGAAGTAACGTTCAAGAGAAAACCATTTACACTCATCACATACGGATTTTGTACACAAAGTAACAAATAGTGCATCCGTTAGGCGCATTGACTGCTCTGTTTAGTGTTATATGAATCGCCGAATGCCAGTCCTTAATTTCAATTGCCGAATGACTTATTCTGCCAAAGACGGAATAAGTTGTTATTTGTAATCCGACGATTCCGCAGAAGTAGCAATGCGGTATTTGAATATTAAGAAGAACATGACATTGTTTCCATTTTATCAAAATAGGAAATAAAAGAAGCATTTAGAAACGCATAAAAGGACACGATAGAGAAAGCAACTGAGTTAAGGGCATCAGATATGTTTTTGTACGCCGAGAAACTGGAAACTTATTTCTCAACGTGATTCATGTGAAACTTCATTCATTATTGTTACGTCCGTTAATCTATAGATGTTATACTTAGCTGAACTTTTCCTCTATGCCGATTCGGAGGAAGAAGATTCCATTTGGTTTTGTTTGATCCAGTGTTTGTCTCGGCTCTTTACACGCAATTGCGTTGAAAACAAATAGACAAGGGCGTTTCGGCATTTAGTCTAGGAAGTTCCACTTATCGATGATACCGTCTGAGTTTCCGCACACTTTCACCTTGCTTTTCCCCGAATATAATCAAATATTCCAATACTTCCATGTGTTTGACTTCAGAAATCGGCTGTGAATTATTTTAGTCGCACATTATACAAGCAAACAAAGAAGACACACGTTTTATTCCGTACAATTAATTTTCAGCCAATAACAAAATATTCCTTTCTATTTTCACTCAGTCAGCGCAAGCGTGTTTTAAAATACTTTAATGTTGTTTCACTTTTAAATTCAAAGGTAACAAGTCGATGCCAACTTGCCTGAAGATGTATTTGTTGCAATATGACTCAGCGTCTTTATAGTAGCTTTTCGCCAATGATTGTCAAAGTTTTTGGAATTGGTCCCCTCGTTAGAAGCCTCTATTGCACATAGTTTGTTAAAAATTAGTCCATCAAAGTGCAATAATTTTCCTGTTGAGAGGTCGCTTGAAAATATATAAAACTCGGCGACAGCAGAAACATTGTCCATACTAAAGTACATGGAATTGGCAGCGCGACTTGGGACCCCAAACATACCTGCAAGATGATCAATGATGTATGCCAGAAAGATAATTTTGGCAACGTAATTGCAGTATACCATATCGCATGAGGCATATCATATGGGAGGCACAGGTCAGATTTATCCAGAAATGTAATCTTTCCTTAAAAATTGATGCTTATTATGGCAAATAAACACGTGATACCATACAAAATGAATAGATTTTGAGGAATCAAATCTATATTTGGTGCTATTTTTGGACGTAACGCGAATTTAGACATTTCAAAAAACATTCAACGTTAAGCTACGAAAGATGCAAATACCACGTATCTGAATAGTACTTAGTTTATTAATATAATTGGGTGCATATACGTTCATAGGGAAAGCACCACCAAGACAAATACGATGATTGTGAAGAATTAATTTTCCTACACAAGAAAGATCCTTCCTGAATTTTGCACCTCATGACCAATAAATGCGAACAGGAACTATATCGGGAAACTGTTGCTTACCTTTAGGAACACGCTGATGATACTTTTGGAAAAGGTAAGGCTGCACGACAATTTCAAGATTCGAGCTTTATGAAGGCTGGCAGTATCGAAGCACGCATGCATTACTAAACCAGGCGGAATAGTCATTATGAACATTGTTTCACTGTTGAACTTGTACGGAACATCAGATTCAAATTTCAATGTCCTTCGAAACTTATTAAGTAAGACATCATCCAGATGGACGTTCCCTCCGGTGCTTGGGCAAATACTCCAGGCTTGATAAAGTGAATATTAAACATTTCCTTATCATATAACATATAACACAGAACGTACAGCATATTAACGTATAACATATTTATTCCTACTCTACTGGGATATTGACATTTACTATTAATTGAAATATTGCCAGCCTTATAACAGGACGAATTTTGAGGCGGTCTTGCACATAAATTTTTTTTGCTTTCATAAGCTGATTTTTCTCAGCTCTTTATCAAGGCAATATAGGTTATGGTGAACGAGTTATTTATTGAAATACTGATACGATGTTAATTTTTTCCGTGACTAACCTGAATACCGACCCTATTGTTTGAAATGGCTACTAGCAATAGTTTATCAGACTACTATTCACTAAGGATTTGCAATTGCACAAACCTGAATCAAACAACCCCTGTATATTAATAATACGTGTTGGCAGCAACAGGCCGTTTAATTCGTGAGACAAGGATTATCATCTAACCGATAAATCTGTAAGTATAGACCATTTGCATGCACGTTCAAAACTCAAATGCATGTAATTATACTGCGATAAATTGCTTTGAGTATAAACAGGTGTCCCAGAGCGTACACTGTTCTACAGCCTTCTTGCATGTCAAACCAAATCTCATCTACAGAAGATGCGCAAGCATTCCTATAAACAGCTTGCAGGCAAAACCCTCCCTAACTGTTATAGTTTCTGCTGTCAATAGTATATTAGGCTACTATTAAGCAAGCATTTGACAGTTGCACACACCTTAATTAAACACCCCCGTATATTAATAGATGGATAATATGAGTTGGAAACAAGCTTCTTTATCACTAAGGTGAAGAATAATATCATAGCGTAAAATGGCTGAATTTAGATCATTTTCATGCGCGTCCAAGACGCGAATAAATGTAATTTGACTGCAATAGATTGCAATCAGCATAAATTAGTGTCTACGGACATACATTCACGCGCAACCTTCCTGCATGCCAAACAAAATCCCATCTGCATAAGAAACGCAAGCATTCCAATAAACAGCTTGCAGGCCATCGTCTCAGGGAAAACTGCATCAGCGTGCATCATGCTTTATTTATACAGAAAGACTGTGACCAACAATGAAGTGACAAACAAACTAAAGCGAAGGCGTTATGCAGATGTTAACGAGAGATGCGAACTAGCTAAAGCTATACCTCTCTTTCTTCTCCTCTCCCACTTGGATCCGCTGTCAAGACAGGGTCGAGAAGACCGGACGCGGGGCAGGACACAAGTGGGCGACGCAGCTGGGCCCGCATCTTAGCGCTCCACACGACACTCCCTGGTCCAGAGAACAAATGGTCAGAATTTTAACTAACTACAGTAACAACACAACGACAGATGAGAACGATACTCCCCGGACGGATACTGACTAAAGTTTGATTTCGCCTGTGTGGGCTCTATTTTGGCACCTGAGCACGCACTATTTAGCGTGGAGTAATTTTGGAGGTGGTACTCACTAACAGCAGTTGGGAAGTACCCCACTGCGGCTTTGGTTACTCCACTGCAGGTTTGACACTCTGATGTCCGCCACAGTTATTACCACTCACATTTTTGCTAGTATCACAGTCTGAATGCTGTATTGATGTCGTTCTACCATCAGCGGCGAATACGTCGGTCTGGGAACCATGCCACCTGAAAAAAAGGGTAAAATATATTGCCGTCAGAAAAACAGTAATCTAATTTCGATGGTCTGTCTGACCTGAACCAATACCGTCCTTGTTTGCATAATGCGTTTCATATTTCTGTCCGATACACATTTAAAGACATCAGTGTGATAAATTGGGGGCCTTTGCGTAGGACAAAAAATCGAATTGGTGTAAATGCGCAAGCAGAAAATTGCATTTTCAGACAATTGGTCAAATAACGAAGGCGCATGCAAGGGCACTCTATCGTCCCTAAGCGTCTTCTATGCCCGGATCAGCAAGTCATGACCTTCGCAGACTGCTTTGCGCGGGCAGTTTTCCAGCACCTGCTTCCCTACTGCTAGATGCGCTTGCGTTGCCGTCTGGTATGCAGACTGTAAGCATAGCTGTTAAGTTAACATCGTCATCCTGACCCCTTGTGGTGGCTCTTATTGATGGTTAAAATCCAGGTAATTTGCAGAGTGGACCAGGAGTGTGAAGTGGAGCAAAATGGCGCGGCTCCGACAGCCTCATCCACCTGCGCAATCGCCTGCCACGTGTCTTCTTGGACACAGGACTTAGGCGACGAGGGAGCAGTAAGTGCGGTAGATGCTGTTCAAGTCTCTGCGCCTAATCCCCTTCGATGTGAAGAGAACGATGGATATCGTTGTCATGGGCGCTCGAACTGTCACCAATGAAGAGTGACAGGGCCAACGACATGTCGGGGAAGAAAGACATTAGCCGCTGGACACGTTAGAGAGGCTTAGAAGGTGTGGTTTTGATGAATTTTTAATGATTCCTCGGATAACCTTGTCAACCTTGATATTTTGCCAATAAACTATTACGGAACATATTTAGGGCCTTTACATTTACTGTATACTGCCGGTAAATCATTTGCTTCTCAAGACAAATGAACGACCATCGAAAAACATGCTCCATAAAGAAAGCATTGAATTTAAATCCACAAGCAATCTGAAAGTAAGGACATCGTAGCAAGCTAAATGTGTTTCATCTCAAAGACACTGCTGTTCTATATGTTAATTGTGTTCTGCCATGGTTTTCATAATATTGTCTTTCTACTAGGTTATTAAGATTCCACTGATGAGTGAGCGAAGTAAGCCGCTTAAATGGTAGAGATTTGTATATAAAAGTTCGTTAAAATAACGCATAGTTTTCGCACTAGTATTTCATCAGGTTTGTTTGTTTAAGAAGAATTTAAAGCAGGCATTGACAGCAGAATTGATTAAACTCACTGGCGAAGGATGCCTTGCCCTTTCGCCCCGCGTCAAATAAGGTTTAAGACTTTAAATGCACTTGTGAATGCAAGTACATTGGGCGAACGCAAAGGCAACTGGCAGCCAGGTCAGTTGAGCACCTGCCTAAATGGCTTCTTCAGCAGGAGAATAAGATTCCACGGTCTTCGATTACAAAACACCTCCTTGATAGTGGTCATTCGGTTGACTCCAAAACATCTTTTCAAGTATTAGTTCGAACAAGAGCAACTCGATTACTGCGTTACCTGGAGGCGGCTTACATACGCGGGAGAAACCCGACCTATGTAAGTAGTTAGCACACGTGGTCAACCTCAGCTTGCCCTGATAGACCTGAGCCCTTTTGATTTACGAAATCCCTCGAAGTGTTTAATTTCCCACTTTCTTTCCTCTGTTGCGTTTTGAAGTTACCATTTTACTGATAAATCTACATGCAGTATACGATGACCTTGCTGTTTTACATTTATTTTCTCTGTCCCTGTTTCATCGCTGTAACGCAACGTGGCAGGTGTAAACACATATTCTAGGTTCGTCTATTCCCCGGGGAGTCTAAGCGTTTATACAAACATTTTATGGAAGCACACCATTGGCTTGACCAAACGTATGGCCACTGTTTCTGTCGTTGCAATTATCGTCTACGCATTCGCCGCAGTCAGCCAAGTTAGTCAGAATTGCCCTAGAGATGGACTTTTCCGTAATTTGATTTAGCCAGGCATGATGGTTCTGTCGCATCCGATTGGGCAGGCGCGCAGTTGTTCGACCAGAATATTCTGCCCAAATGGAGCAAGTGAAGGCGTAGATGTGCATTGACGAGGTCAGAAGTGGCAGTCTTTCCTTACCCTCGATGCGAAGATGCGGAGTTTTTGTGAAAATAAGTCTTATTTTGGCGGCAAAGCACGTGCGCGCCGTAACAGATTTATGCATTTTTTGCTAAGTATGCATGGCAAAATTTGCACGTAGATGTACAAACGAGCATTAACTTAAATATAGATAATAATGTTATTAATCATACCACCACGGGCGAGAGCGTCTTAAACTAGAAACGCCATCTAAAATCACATTAGTGTGCAAGGGCAAAGTGATTCTAAATGTATATATTTGTGTGCCGTCAGAAAGTACTTAAACTGCAGTATTTTGCTGACAGTTTTCATTTCAAATGTGTTCCTGTAGACCAGCGATTATATACCATGTCGTTGATAATACCAGTACATAAATACATCTTTTAATACAGAATTACTCTAGTTTTGACTTGGACATTATTAGTACGTGTTATTTTTTCAGTAGCAGTATCACTATATTTCAGGGAAAGTAGGTGGGTACCTTTGAAATCCCTATTGGTTACATGCGGGGGATATATATGGAGGAAATGTAAAGGAAGTAGCATGAAATAAATGCGAGGGGAATAGCAAAAACTGTACAGATGAACACAGAATGTCGTGCGTTAACAGAATTTAGTGGTGCATTAACTTGCTTTGCTGATCAAATACAGCGGACAGTTAAGATACACTTAAGATACGGGAAAAGAAGTAAAATTGCTTAGTCTACAGGTATCGTGGTAAATGCGAACAGCGGTGTGCGACGTGGCCCAAACTTAATATATTACATAAACATATATAACTTAAATGTTGGTAGTAGCGTCGCTATTCTACATTATCAACGTTGGCTGCCTAGGTGGCCGTCGTCCGGCGTTATTGTCGTGCGCGCTACAATGCCGATCTAGCCTCCATTTGAAAGTTTCTACCGAGCCCGACATACCAACATTCTCAGGCAAGGCATTCCAAGCTGCAACCACTCTGTTGGAGAAGAAGAACTTTCGGGTGTCTAGCCGGGCTCCAGCCATACGCAGTTTGAGTGTATGGCCTCTCAGGTTAGTCGTAGTCGCCAACTCGAAGAAGTCTCCAAACGCGAGGCAGCAGCCCTGATTGCGCACTATGTGGAAAGCTTGTCTCTGGTCCCCACGTAGCAGTCTGTAACTCAAAGGAAAGAGGCCAAGATTAGCTAATCGCATTTCGTAGGGTATTGACCACTGCCCAGATACAAGTTTCGTTGCTCGCCGTTGT